AACTGTTTTATGTGTAGCTTTCAGAAACTGAGGTACAGCAGGACAGTCGAGATGATTCACGCTAGTAATCCCAGCATTTTGAGAGGCTGAAGCAGACAGATTGCTTGAGGTCAGGTGTTCGAGACCAGCCTGGCCAACATGGCAAAACCTTGTCTCTACAAAAAATACAAAAATCAGCCAGGCATAATGGTGTGCACGTACAGTCCCAACTACTCGTGAGGCTGAGACAGGAAGATGGCTTGAGCCCAGAAGGTAGAGGCTGCAGTGAGCAGAGGTCTTGACAATTAAAGACTGCAGCCAAGTTGACAGAGCAAGACACTGTCTCCAAAAACAAGAAAGAAACTGAGATATAAAAAGATGCTGATGAGCATGTTATTTTTTTTTTCCTTGAACTCAGAGTATGTTGCATTTGGGGATTTCCATGAGTGACTCTCTTTTTATTCCCAAAGCTGAGTAAGAGTTCAGCTCTACATTTATTACAATTGAAAATAAAATGATGATTGTTTTGTAGGGGAACCAACAGAAGCTGAAGCCAGAGCTAGAGCATCTAATGAAGATGGTGACATTAAACGTATTTCCACTAAGGAATGGGCTAAATCAACTGGATATGATCCAGTTAAACTTTTTACCAAGGTTAGATTTACTTTTTTTATAATTTTGGGTAGATGGATGTATTGTTGTGCATAGATGTATTGTTCTAGTTCTGCTTGTTTTAAAATAGTCCATAAAATTGAATTAACCTTCTGTGTATATGCCTCATGACGTCCTGATAAAATGATTATTGCAGTCCGGATATGCAGTTTTGAAAATATTAGCATCTCTACTAAATCTATTAGTATAACATCTAAATAGGAGGTAAAATTGGAGGCTTGCTTGCATACCTTCTTAGTTGTCTTTTCTTCCCCCACTTTTTACAGAACTTCTTGGTTTTCCTGCTGCTTCTCATCTTCACTTTTTTTCTGAGACGGAGTCTCAGTCTTGTCACCTAGGCTGGAGTGCAGTCACATGATCTCAGCTCACTGCAACCTCTGCCTCCTGGGTTCAAGCAGTTCTGCCACATCCTCCTGAGTAGCTGGGATTACAGGTGTGTACCACCATGCCTGGCTAATTTTTTTTTTTTTTTTTTTTTTTTGAGACGGAGTTTCGCTCTTGTTACCCAGGCTGGAGCGCAATGGCGCGATCTCGGCTCACTGCAACCTCCGTCTCCTGGGTTCAAGCAATTCTCTTGCCTCAGCCTCCCGACTATCTGGGACTACAGGCGTGCGCCACCATGCCCAGCTAATTTTTGTATTTTTAGTAGAGACGGGGTTTCACCATGTTGACCAGGATGGTCTCGATTTCTTGACCTCATGATCCACCCGCCTTGGCCTCCCAAAGTGCTGGGATTACAAGCGTGAGCCACCTCACCTGGCCAATTTTGTATTTTTAGTAGAGGTGGTGTCTCACCATGTTGGCCAGGCTGGTCATGAATTCCTGACCTCAAGTGATCTGCCCACCTCGGCCTCCCAAACAGGCGGCCACCTCGCCTGGCTTCATCTTCACTTTTATTTCCTGCTCCTATCTTCCATTAGCAGCTTGACTGACATTTGTCCTAAATTGCCCTCGAACTCCATAAGCCACTTGTTCTTGGTGAAATCCCTTTTCATCAGTATATATTATTTGCCTGTTGAATATTTCTAGAGAAATCTATGAGATTATTTTGATTGGGTCTCTGTAATTATTGTTCATCTAGACCATCAGGTCAGTGTTTAAAAATTGTTTTGGGGCTGGGCACATTGGCTCATGCCTGTAATCCCAGCACTTTGGGAGGCTGAGGCAGGCGGATTGCCTGAGCTCAGGAGTTCGAGACCAGCCTGGGCGACACGGTGAAACCCGGGCTCTACTAAAATACAAAAAATTAGCTGGGCGTGGCGGCATGCGCCTGTAGTCCTAGCTACTCGGAGGCTCAGAACCCAGGAGGCGAGCCGAGATTGCGTCACTGCACTCCAGCCTGGGCAACAGAGTGAGACTGTAAAAAAAGTTTTTTGTTCTGTCTTGACTCCCTAGCAAGTTGTATGTGCGTGGGTTTTTTGTTTGTTTTGTTTTGTTTTTGGTCTTTTTTTTTTTTTTTTTTTCTTTTTATGGAGAATGGGGTCTCACTGTGTTGCCCGGGCAGATCTCAAACTTCTGGTTCAAGCGATCCTCCAGCCTCTGCCTCCATGAGTGCTGGGATTACAGGCATGAACTCACTGAGCCTAGCCCCTAACAAGTTTATTCTAGTAGATACTTAAAACTTTCTCAGCTCTTATCAAACTGCCTCAGTATTCTTGCAACTCTCACTAAGGATGTATGAACAGGTTTGAAGCCATTGGACATAATTTACCTGTTGAGAGAATGTTCCACATCACTGAAAACTCTGTTTTTTGTTTGTTTTGTTTTTGACATGGAGTCTCATTTGTACAAGGCTGGAGTGCAGTGGCACAATCTCGCCTCACTGCAACCTTCGCCTCCCGGGTTGAAGCTACTCTCCTGCCTCAGCCTTCTAAGTAGCTGGGACTACAGGTGCACACAGCCACGCCCAGTTATTTACTCTTTTTTTTTTTTTTTTTTTTTGAGAAAGAGTCTTGCTCTGTCGTCAGGCTGCAGTGCAGTGGCACAATCTCTGCTCGCTGCATCCTCCGCCTCCCAGGTTGAAGTGATTCTTTTGTCTCAGCCTCCCAAGTAGCTGAGACTAATAAATAGAGAGGCTGAAACCCCATGCGCGCCACCATACCCAGCTAATTTTTGTATTTTTAGCAGAGACAGGGTTTCACCATGTTGGCCAGCATAGTCTCAATCTCTTGACCTCGTGATCTGCCTGCCTTGGCCTTCCAGAGTGCTGGGATTATAGGTGTGAGCCACCGCACCCAGCCCACTGAAAACTCTTTTATCTTATTTTTTTTTTTTTTCCTGCTAGAGAGAAACCTTCAGTAAAGGCTAACTCTTCCACATGGGATTTTACTTTCAACAGTATTTTCGTCTCTGCCCTGTGTCTTGTATGATTTTTTTTTTCCTTGGTTTCTTTTGTCTGCTTTCCAACAAGCACAGGTTCTGCTATCTTAAGCAAATGGCATACTGCTCTCCCCAGCTTGTATTTCACCTCATTTCCTCAGTGGTAACAGGTGTCACATGTTGACTGACTTTTTTTTTTTTTTTTTTTGGAGACAGAGTCTTACTCTGTTGCCCAGGCTGGAGTGCAGTGATATGATCTCAGCTCAGTGCAACCTCTGCCTCCCAGTTTCAAGCTATTCTCCTATCTCAGCCTCCTGAGTAGCTGGGATTACAGGCACGCTCAAGTAGGCCTGGCTAATTTTTGTATTTTTAGTAGATACAGAGTTTCGCCACGTTGGTCAGGCTGGTCTCAAACTCCTGACCTCAGGAGGTCCACCTGCCTCTGTTTTCCAAAGTGCTGGGATTACAGGCGCGAGCCACCCTGCCCTCCCCACTGTTGACTTTCTTAGGCCTCTTGTATTTATTTCTTCACGACAACCCTTTTCTAAAAAGTGGTTCTATTAGCATTCTCTAGAGGGACACAACTAGTAGGATAGATACATATATAAAGGGGCATTTATTAAGTATTAACTGACGTGACCACAGGGTCCCACAGTATGCCCATGTGCAAGCTGAAGAGCAAGGAGAGCCAGTCTCAAAACTGAAGAACTTGGAGTTCGATGTTTTAGGGCAGGAAGCATCCAGCATGGGGGAAAGATGTAGGCTGGGAGGCTAGGCCAGTCTAGTCTTTTCATTTTTTTTTTTTTTTTTTTTTTCTGTCTGCTGTATATATATTCTAGCCTCGATGGCAGCTGATTAGATGGTGCCTACCCAGATTAACAGTGGGTCTGCCTTTCCCAGCCCACTGACTCAAATGTTAATGTCTTTGGCCAACACCCTCGCAGACACACCTATGATTGGTACTTGTATCCTTCAGTCAAGTTAACACTGAGTATTAACCATCACAATGCTTTTTATGTTGATTATGCTTAAAATGCAGTAAACTTTGATGTGGGCAACAGCAGTATCTTCCAAACTGGTACCCCTGTTTCCATTCCAATCCGAGCAACATTTGAATGCCAGAAAAATCTGAAGTGCATCTCCAGTCTGTTGTTCAGCAGATAATTTTAAACATCTGCTGTGTGCTAGACACTATTTTAAGTATAGGGGATTTCCAGAGCCCTTGCTTTTTAGAGGGAGCTCACACAGTCTAGATGAGAAGTCAAACATCGGACAATAAATTTCAGCTTCAGAGTTTTGATGACATTAAGTTCAGGTACTTTATAGCCCTTTAATAATGAGTGGCATCTAATGGACTTATCTCCTGGCTTGTGTACCCATTTCAGATGTTGCTAGGGAGAGGCTTTAGAAGAGGCTTTGTAAAGGAGGTGACATTTGAACCCGAGACTTGAAAGAATAAGAGTCAGAATAGGGTACAGTATGTACAAGGAAACTGTTGGAAAACTGACATAAATCCTATTAAGGGAGAGAGTGGGAAAAAAAAAAATGACTGGAGAGATAAGTTGAGGTCAAATCAGGCAGACTTTCTAGGCCATGTTAAGAACCTTATAGCAAGTCAGTGGGAATCCATTGAAAGGTAGTCTTACGGGATCACTATAAGGGCATAGAGGGCATGCACGTATCGCCCTAGGACCTGATGTTCATATTATAACCAATCTGGGACAGTGACCCTGGAGTTGTGCAATACCAGAATAATCTGGAGTACAGCTGTCTGTACTCCCAGTGGAACATGGAGGAGAAGTAGACTTAACAGGACTTTGGATGTATGTGGTGAAGATCAGTGAAATAAAAAATGGTACTTGGATGGGCACTGTGGCTTACACCTGTAATCCCAGCACTTTGGAAGGCCAAGGTGGGAGGATACTGGAGGCCGGGAACTTAAGACGGAGCAACACCCCATCTCTACCAAAAAAAAAAAAAAAAAAATAGCCAGGTGTGGTGGCATGAGCCCGTGCTCCCCAGCTACTTGGGAGGCTGAGATAGGAATATCACTTGAGCCCAAGAGGTTGAGACATCAGTGAGCTATGGTCACACCACTGCACTCCAGCCTGGGCAGGTCAAAGAACAGAGACACCATTCTCTGATATAAGTGAGTTGGGAAGTAGATGTGTGTATAGGGATTGGGAGGAAAGTAGACTGGTTTCAACTAGGGATGTGATTGGGATTCCTAGGTTTATAGATGTGGTTAACTACTGGAAATAGACATGATACACCACAGAGAATAGAATGAAAAGATGGCTCTGTACAGAACTCTGAGGGGCTCCTAATATTTAGTAATAGTTGAATCAAAGAAAAAGAGGTGGCGTTTAGGCTTAGAAAACTATTGGTTCGAGTCTTCAAGATCCTCTGCAAAATGTTTCCAGCCACATTTGTTACCCAAGTCATAGTGGATTCATCTCCCTGCCTGTGTACCCATTTTACATGTTGCTGTCACAAGGAGACATTTTCCTTATTTGTTAAGTAAAATGGAAATCCTTATATTACTAAAGGTTTTGTTATATTCACACTGAATTGTATTCTCATTATTTATATATTTGGCTTATTCTCTAAAGATTAAGTGTGCTTGGCCGGGCGCGGTGGCTCACGCCTGTAATCCCAGCACTTTGGGAGGCCGAGGCGGGTGGATCACGAGGTCAAGAGATCGAGACCATCCTGGTCAACATGGTGAAACCCCATCTCTACTAAAAATACAAAAAATCAGCTGGGCATGGTGGCGCATGCCTGTAATCCCAGCTACTCAGCAGGCTGAGGCAGGAGAATTGCCTGAACCCAGGAGGTGGAGGTTGCGGTGAGCTGAGATCGCGCCATTGCACTCCAGCCTGGGTAACAAGAGCGAAACTCCGTCTCAAAAAAAAAAAAAAGATTAAGGGTGCTCAATTAGTATTGGTGGATTGAGTATATATTTTGATAGAAATGGCTGTGATTTTTAAATATAGCCAAATCTTGATTCTTACCTGGTACCAGCAATAAATGTGTTAGATAAATTAATCAACAATAAAAAATACAGATAAGGAAAAATATTAAAATCACATGAAGTTCTAGCACATCTTTTCATGTAATAGTTTCTCAGTCTGCTTGTTGTAAAGTTTTCGTTTTTGTAATAATTGTGTGTTTGGGATTTTTATGTTTTATTTTTGCTCTTGTTTCATTTCTGTGGGTTATTTTTGGAGGGGAGGGCACATTTTAAATATACCACAGTTCAGAAGTTCTGTTGTTAAGCACTTTAGTTTTAAAATGTGTGTACTTGATTGGTATGTCCCTATGAGCTCGGAGGTGTTGCTGACTGGCAATCCTAGGCTCACTGATTGTCTGTAGTTCCTGCAGAGCTGGTGTACATTTATTTGTATGATTATGCTTCAGACTATCTTTGGAGTTTTAGAAGAGCTCTTGGAGTGGTGACTTAGGAAGGCAGGGGCTGTCAGCATAGTTCAGGCTACCCAAAGTACTTCTGCATTTCACTCACTGTGTTTTCTTTTTCTTTTTTCTTTTTTCTTTTTTTTTTTTTTTTTTTGGAGACAGAGTCTTACTCTGTCGCCAGGCTGGAGTGCAGTGGCGCAACCTCTCTCAGCTCACTGCAACCTCAGCCTCCCGAGTAGCTGGGACCACAGGCCCATGCCACCGTGCCTGGCTAATTTTTGCATTTTTAGTAGAGACTGTGTTTCACCATGTTGGCCAGGATGGCCTCAATCTCTTGACCTCATGATCCGCCTGCCTCAGCTTCCCAAAGTGCTGGGATTACAGGCATGAGCCTTCACTGTTTGCAATGTAGCAATTCTGTTAGAACTCCCTTTTACAAATGTTTTTCCTTTTGGAAGTTTTTATGCTGCTGGTATATGACATGTCTTTAAATCAGATTTCACAGTGTAATATAATAGATCAGCAATGAAATTTTCTTGTACCTTATCAGTTAGGAATTGTAGGGTTCATGGGATCTTTCTTTTTTAAGCTTTTTAAAGATGACATCAGGTATCTGTTGACAATGGACAAACTATGGCGGAAAAGGAAACCTCCAGTTCCGTTGGACTGGGCTGAAGTACAAAGTCAAGGTAAAGAATACATTTTAGTCTTGGAAATACCTAAGCTGGAAATGTCCTCGCCTGAAGTCTTTGTATAGCCCTGTTGTTGGTTGAAAATGATATGTGTGGCAGGGCCCAGTGGCTCAGGCCTGTAATCCCAGCACTTTGGGAGGCTGAGGTGGGCGGATCACAAGGTCAAGAGTTGAAGACCAGCCTGGCCAACATAGTGAAACCCTGTGTCTACTAAAAATACGAAAATTAGCCGGGTGTAGTGGCATGCATCTGTAGTCCCAGCCACTCCGGAGGCTGAGGCAAGAGAATCACTTGAACCTGGGAGGTAGAGGCTGCAGTGAGCCAAGATTGTGCCACTGCACTCCAGCCTGGGTGACAGAGCGAGACTCCATCTCAAAAAAAAAAAAGTAAAAGGAAAATGATATGTCTTTATACACTCAAGCAATGCAAAAAAGTATGAAGAACAAAAGTCACTGAAGTCCCACACTAGAGAAATATCCACTAAAAACATTTTAGGGGTGTTCTGGTGGTCCACTCTGTGCAGTCCACAGGCAGTCGTGTATACGCTGTATAAATGGAATCATACTATTGATAAACTCTGAACTGCTTTTGTCAATCGGTATAGTTAACTAGTTTCTTACTGATTAAAACATAGTATTTTTATATTTATCCTGAAATAAAGTTTTGAGATCACTATATATTTATATACCTTTTTTTTTTGGAGACTTAGTCTCACACTATTGCCCAGGCTGGAGGGCAGTGGTACAATCTCAGCTCTCTGCAACCTTCGCCTCCCAGGTTCAAGCGATTCTCTTGCCTCAGTCTCCTGATTAGCTGGGATTACAGGCACCCACCACCACACCCAGCTAATTTTTTTATTTTTAGTAGAGACAGGGCTTCACCATGTTAACCAGGCTGGTCTCAAACTCCTGACCTGAAGTGATCTACCCACCTCGGCCTCCCAAAGTGCTGGGATTACAGGGGTGAGCCACTGTGCCTGGCCTATTTAGGTACATCTTTGTGCCCTTGTGATTATCTCTTTAAGATTTAATCTGGAAACACATTTTCAATATAAATTTTTTTAATTTTTAAAAATGAAAAGTTTTTTTTGTTTTTTTGAGACGGAGTTTCACTCATGTTACCCAGGCTGGAGTGCAATGGCGCGATCTCGGCTCACCGCAACCTCTGCCTCCTGGGTTCAGGCAATTCTCCTGCCTCAACCTCCTGAGTAGCTGGGATTACAGGCACGCACCACCATGCCCAGCTAATTTTTTGTATTTTTAGTAGAGACGGGGTTTCACCGTGTTGACCAGGATGGTCTTGATCTCTTGACCTCGTGATCCACCCGCCTCGGCCTCCCAAAGTGCTGGGATTACAGGCGTGAGCCACCACGCCCGGCCCAATGAAAAGTTTTTTGAGGCACGGTCTTGCTGTATTGCCCAGATTAGAGTGCAGTGACTGTTCACAAGCTGTCATAGCACATGGCATCCCTGGGCTCCAGGGCTTAAGTGATCCTCCTGCCTCAGCTTCTTGAATAGCTGGTAGTGTGTGCCACTGTGCCCAGCACATTGTAAAAATTTAAATGTAGGAAAGAAAACTGTTGTAGTGGGCGCTTTCTCCCCTTCAATACTTCTTGTCTCTCTTTTATCTAAACTGTATTAGGATTAATTTATGCACAGCAATATAGCATCCATTGAAACTGAAAAGATCCTGGGAGACTTGGGATATATTTTTGAAGTAGTTCTCAACAATATGGGATAGTAATCAAACATTTAATTATGACTCTAAAAGCATCCGCTTACTGAGTGCTCACTAGGTGGTGGGCATAATGCTTATTTATCATCTTATCTACATTATATCTCCCAGTAATCCTGTGAGGTTCTGATGTGGTCTTGTACCTTTCCTATCTCAACTTGAACAGTTTGCTTGTACAGGTATATGTATTGTTGTGATAATTATTTTAATGGAATTTATTTCATATTTGATTTCTTATTGGCGGATATTGAACTTGTTAAATAGTGCACAGCAGAGGAATGATGTTTATTAGTGAAATTCCTAATATGTTTTTTCTTTAGGAGAGGAAACGAATGCACCAGATCAACAGAATGAACCCCAGTTAGGCCTGAAAGACCAGCAGGTTCTAGATGTAAAGAGCTATGCACGTCTATTTTCAAAGAGCATTGAGACTTTGAGAGTTCATTTAGCAGAAAAGGGGGATGGAGCTGAGCTCATATGGGATAAGGTTCGTTTTGACAATGTGTGGCAAGTACTTACATATCAAATGTGTGTTTTAGTTCTTGAGGTGTCATTTTTTGAATACTAGATTTGGGGAAATATGTTGAATTTGCCTTGGATATTTTCAGCTCTAATTGCGGTATGGAGCTGAATTTTCTGTGCATGGATTCAAGCAATATAAAACTTGGTATTCTAGTGGTGTGTTCAGGGTTGATAATTATGTTGATTAGAAAAATAATGTGAATATATTAAAGTGAAATGTTTCTTTTGTAACGTAGATGTATTCATAGAAGTCAAAATCATTTGGAGAAAACATCTCATTGGCCTGATTTGCCCTTGAAAGTAGTGAGATTGTCTTTGAATTCAAATAGTTACAAATATTTCAAAGGTCCGAAAGACAGAGCTCTAATACAAAAATGAGATGTAATTATTCTTAGAAGTTAAAATCAAATTTAATAGTACTCTGCAGTTACGGCATATTTTGAGATTTGATATTACAAACTAATCTTACTTAATTGTAATCAGTATTTTCTATGGCTAAAAGTGTTTCATTTCATAAAATTTGTATGTTCCTATGGTGGTAAAGATTAGTCATGGGTTTTAAAGTAAGGGATAAAGGCCAGTTTTAGAAACCTAAGAAAAATTTATGTGCCCAGATTTTGAAACTTTGGTTGAATCAGACATCTAAATATTCTAAAATGAAGCTAGTATATTTAGATTCTTGGGATTCGTATAAACATTAGTCTCTTGGGTTTTGTGATATAAAGGGTAACTTTTCATATTTTCATTGTTATTGTTATGCTAGTGATTTGGGAAGTTTTCATTAGTGCACAGAGGCTAAATAAAGAACCCTTGGAATGGGAATTGTTATCCTCTTGAGTAAAGTCCACATGTAATGGATTGATAAGACAGCTGCCTAGGGAAGATGCCGTGTTGAGTATTCAGTATTCTTTTTTTTTTTGAGACGGAGTTTCACTCATGTTACCCAGGTTGGAGTGCAATGGCGCGATCTCGGCTCACCGCAACCTCCACCTCCTGGTTTCAGGCAATTCTCCTGCCTCAGCCTCCTGAGTAGCTGGGATTACAGACACACACCACCATGCCCAGCTAATTTTTTGTATTTTTAGTAGAGACGGGGTTTCACCATGTTGACCAGGATGGTCTCGATCTCTTGACCTCGTGATCCACCCGCCTCGGCCTCCCAAAGTGCTGGGATTACAGGCTTGAGCCACTGCGCCCGGCCGAGTATTCAGTATTCTTACTTAGTCCTCACCACACCTTAAGAGATATGGATATAATTTCCCCTATTTAATAGATTAAGGGATTTTGACTCTGGGAAGTTGACTTGCCTGAGGTTTCATAGCCAACCAATAAGTACATAAAGAGCCTACATGTGGCCTGGTGCAGTGGCTTATGCCTGTAATCCCAGCATTTTGGGAGGTCGAGGCAGGCAGATCACAAGGTCAGGAGTTCAAGACCAGCCTGTGCAGTATGGTAAAACCCTGTCTCTACTAAAAATAAAAAAGTTAGCCAGGCATGGTGGTGGGCGCCTGTAGTCCCAGCTACTCAGGAGGCTGAGGCAGGAGAATCACTGGAACCCGGGAGGCAGAGGTTGTAGTGAGCCAACATTGCACCACTGCACACCAGCCTGGGTGACAGAGTGAGACTCCATCTCAAAAATAATAATAATAACCTACATGCTATCAGTACATTTTGTTCTGTTCTGTGGTGCCTCTGAATTTTAGACCAGGGTACTATCTTAGTTCAAAGCAGGAAGCCTTGCTGAAATCTAGAGACCAGGATATAGTCTCAGGAAAAAATGCAAATTGTAACAGGAAAAACTTGGATTGTATTACTTTATGTGAAGAAACAGCACATATGAGAGTGGTGCATATGAAGAGAGTTTGGCAAAGTTGAGCTGTAAAGAGTCATCCAGATTTTTCTGAAGTGTTAATGAAACATCTTTTTTTTTTTTTTTTTAATTGAGACAGGGTCTCACTCTGCCACCTAGGCTGGAGTGCAGTGGCATGTTCTTGGCTCATTGCAGCCTCCACTTCCTGAGTTCAGGCGATCCCACCACCTCAGGCTCTAGAGTAACTGGGGCCTTAGGTTTGTACCACCATGTCTGGCTAATTTTTTGTATTTGGTGGAGGCGGTGTTTTGCCATGTTGCCCAGGCTGGTCACAAACTCCTGAGCTCACTCAGGCAGTCTACTTGCCTCAACCTACTAATTCGCTTGAGAT